CTCTGAAGCAAAACTAAAAAGTGAAAGAATTAGTAAATGTGGTAGAAGAAAAACCAGTCCTCCTTTGGTTTATTATAGGTAGAAAGAATATCTTCATAGGCAAGTAAAACTTTTGAAATGTAGATTATTGAGGTTCTATTAAGAGAATAAAACGTTGAATTGCTAGAAAAAATATGCACGCGCATGGGTGCCTCCACAGCTCAACAAGTGTATGCGCTGCCACCACTCGTTTGTTGCAGCTTTCCGGCGTTGTTCAGTTTGTCGCTCGGCCATCTTGTTCTTTCTCCATCAAATGACACGACGGTCAAAGTTCTAGAGGGAACGGTCATGTGCTGGTGAGTGGTGACTTATGGTGTTTGCAGCAGATCATATCTGAACGGAAAATGCTGGATAATTTGCATAAGCTAGGTGAATAATTAGTATTGGCATGTGAAATTGACACTTTGTACTGCTTTCCACTAAAAGCAACACGAAGATGTCAGAGCACATAAATGCAATTTGCTTGTTTAGGGACCTTTGCTTTTGATGACAATCAGGATGATCTCATAAGACAAAGTGTATTTCTTCACGATCTGGAGTAAGACAACTGCAGTCAGTATTATTTTTGAACACTTATAAATCAAAATCATCTAGATAAAGCTCATGTTACGAATTTGATGTGTCGCTGAGCACATCCTTATACAAAAAGAAGTATAAAACACACATCTCTTTGAGGTGACTTAAGAAACAAAAGTTTTGACACCTTTTTTTTACCTAGCAGGAACTTGCTTGGCTTCACTCACAGCGCTCGCGCTTTTAGTGCCAATATTGTGTACCAGTTACAATAAACTTCCAAATTAATTTGCCTTTCAGCACATACATGTTGAAGTATCCTATCTTCAGTTCATGCTAAGCTCCAATTTAAAATCTGGCAAGTAAACTGATACAAAGTGAAATACATAAGACATATGTTGTAGCATAAGATTGCAGTGAAGAAATTGTAAGGCATGTGTTGTAGCACGACAATTTCAGAATTTCTATTGTTCCAAGACAAAAAGGACTAAATATTTTTGCATGAAAGTGTTCTTGCTAGGTTGAGACTTGAGACTGTACGTCCAACCAATAATTCTGAAATAGCATACCTACTGTCAAGTAATCCAGCATCCTCAACAGCGACCACCATAGTAGTCCTCCATTCCTATTTCAGAATTGATCAGAACAAGATCATCATGCAGCCATCCCCTTTCGCCGTTGGGCCGTTGCCGCTGCTGTAGCCGATCTATACTGTCGCCATGCGCCGAGCTCTCGTGCTTTAGAATGGCGCCCTCCTCACTCCCCAGGCCACCGGAGGGCAGCTGCTCACCCCCACCACCACAGCTGGAGCCTGCGGGAGAAGGGGTGAGAAGGAACAGGGAGGAAGAGGGGTACGAGGAGAGAAGAG